TATCGACGCTCGATGGATCAGCTGGCTCGTTTGAAAGACAAACTGAAAAGTCAGTTCGTTCAAACGAACGATACGGCTCCGAGTGATCAATCGGTACTTGGGAATTGGTGTTTCTCTCAATCGGTAACAGAAGGTAGGCAGAACAATCGATCGGCGGATCGATCGCGGAATGCTCTGACCGGCCCTGGGGCGACGAAATCACTCGTCCCAGAAGCGACCGCGCCCAATGGCAGCTCGAATTTCAGCATTTTTCGGTGCAGCCTGCCGGCCCGCCGTTAATTATACATTTGGCAGATATTACTGCTACCAGTTCCTCGTAAATCCCTGCCGAAAAATAACCGGCCAAGGACCTATCCCTTCAACTTCTCGCCGATGAACACCGACGCGTTAACGCAGCTTTTTGCGCGGCTCGTTTCTACGAAAACGCGCGTAGCTTATCCGAGGGGATACTCATTTACTTCGATCGACGAAATATCGCGAGACAGCGAGATGGAAAGTACCTTCGGTGGTAAAAAAAAAAAATCATATTTCCTTCGTCCACGAAAAATTGCTATCTTGAACATGAAATTACCATTTTCATTGCTTATTTAATGTTTAGTAAAAATTCGTCCTTTCTCTCTGATACTGTGAACATATTGTGAATCTAAAAATCTATTACACTGGTATACGTACTGTACACTGTTATCTATTAACTTGTAAACGTTTACAACTTTTCCTTCTTATTTCTCTTCACTGTAACAAAAGCTGTAAAAGTGAAAAATCGTGGTCGTCCTTCTCTGACACTATTTCTATTTGAAAAGAAACCACGTTTTCTCAGTCCAAAAGTTACAATAATAAAATACTTATTACTCTTTTTAACATCTGCAATCTTTTTACTGTAACAATATTAAAGTGAAAAATCTCAGCAGAAATCCCGTTGTCCTTTTTAACATTCCATTTGAAGAAAACATATTCTCCCAATCTAAAAATTACCATAACAAACTACCCATTGCCCCGTCAAACTTTTAAAATTTGCAACTTCTGTTTCTCCTCCTTCTTTACTGCAACAATATTAAAATGAAAAATCCTAATAAAAACCCTGTTGTCCTTTTCAACTCATTCTACTTGGAAAAAAGTCACATTTTCCCACTCCAAAAATTATCACAGTCAAAATTCTCGTCGTCAACGATAAAATCAAAAATCCCGAATAAATCAGAAACTATCGCTGCTGACCGATCCATCTAGAGGATTTTCTTCGCTTTGCTTAAAATATTTACAATCCTTCTTCTCCCCTCCCTTTCTACTCGCCGTATTCGCAAAGTGAATAAAACACAAACACAGGTTTCACAATAAAGTGAAAAATCCCTCCTCTGATATCGTTCTACCCGGTGGACATATATCAAGCCGGTGGTCGTGTCTCGTTAGCACGTGTATGCAACATATTCGCGATATGGTTCGGTACGGCGGCCGTCGGATAATAACCGTGCATCCTGTAACTCTAATTGCCTGGTCCGAGGTGGTGCACGGTGGCGGCTCTAGGAAGCCTCTGCTCGCGCCAATGGTTCCTCGTCTTCGTGGCCGGATAACAGATAAGCATCGGCGAAAGCACGGGGAAAACGAAGCGGGGTTGTTGGCCAGCCCCGGCCAACAGTTTAACCTCGCGCGCCATCCACGATGGGACGGGTGGTTCCAGCCGGATGCCTAAGAAATACGACGGGCCTGGCGAATTAATACGCGCCGGCTGGAATATGAATGGCGTTACGCAATTATCGGTTAACCCACAAATTGATACAGAATTATGGGTGCTGACGGGGAACGCCGGTTTACCCCTGGTCTGGCTCTCCCCCTCCCTCTTTCTCACTCTCTTTCTCTCTCTCTTTCTTTCACCTCACGTTGTGAGCCGATGGACGGTTTATCGTTTAGTCGATTCGATGAGTTTGCTTCGCAAATGGCGGTGAAACACCGATTAACGACTATTGTCGTCGCTTTTAAGAACGATCGAGGGGGGAGTTTAACCTCTTGCGCTGGAATGACGCACGTCGAGAATTTTCTTGTCCCAAAATTGCATATTTTAAGTGTATTTAAGTATAACCCAAGCAAAACAAATAATAAATTTATTACTTCTCAATAGTTTATATCCAATATTATCCAGTATTATCATACCGACGAGTTCAACAAGAAAGTGACGACTTATTGTATACGGTTTGGTCGCTCGTTATGGTCCGCAATCAGTTGCCTCTCGCGCTGGAATGACGTGCCACGCACGTCGAGAATTTTCTTATCGCAAAATTGCAATATTATCTTAGATTTAAGTATATTTGAGTATAACCCAAGCAAAATAAATAATAAATTTATTAATTCTCAATAATTTTTGTCCAATATTATCCAGTATTATCATACCGACAAGTTCAAAAAGAAAGCGACGAATTATTGTATACGGTTTGGTCGCTCGTTATGGTCCGCAATCAGTTGCCGTTAACCTCTCGCGCTGGAATGACGTGCCACGCACATCGAGAATTTTCTTGTCCCAAAATTGCATATTTTCACAGTTTTAAGTGTATTTAAGTATAACCCAAGAAAAACAAATAATAAATTTATTAATTCCCAATAATTTTTGTCCAGTATTATCCAGTATTATCATACCGACGAGTTCAAAAAGAAAGCGACGAATTATTGTATACGGTTTGGTCGCTCGTTATGGTCCGTAATCAGTTGCCGTTAACCTCTCGCGCTGGAATGACGTGCCACGCACGTCGAAAATTTTCTTGTCGCAAAATTGCAATATTATCTCAGTTTTAAGTGTATTTAAGTACAACTCAGGCAAAAAAAAAAAGTAATAAATTTATTACTTATTAGTAATTTCTATCCAGTGATATACCGATGAATTCAAAAAGAAGACGAATTATTGTATACGGTTTGTTCACTCGTTATGGTCCGCAATCAATTGCCAGCGCAAATGGTTAAATGTGTAACTAAGGTGAACGATGTTAATAGAAATAAAGGAATTACAGAGATCATTAGTTCTTCGTGGATCAACCACGAAGTGTTTGAATAAATTCAAATATCCTTGGACTGATGAAAATCCAATAAATCCACGGGCCAATTTAATCGGTCGTTAGACTAGTAAAAATTGGCAAATGTAATAGAAGTTCTACGCTTCATTTTCAATAAAGTGTATAAATGCTTGCGACAATACACTTCGAAAGAGTATCCAGCTTGTACGAATCAAATATACATTAACCCTCCGTCGCTCCAAATGAGAAGCCAGCCTTCTACTCCGGAAGAATGAAAAAAATGGATAGGAGGTGTCTGAAGATTTAGAGTTGCAATTTCCAAAAGAGGATCCGCGAAGATTCGCGAAGAAGGAGAGGAAAGAACGGACCGGAATTGCGATTCTGAACGAACGGAAGTCGCGTTGAGGTAGGGAACACCGAGCCGATGACGCAACGAACGGGGGAAAGAGAGAAGAAAACATCCGGGTGTCCAAAAGCTCGAGACACAGTCGTGTATTCGTTGATCTTCGAGATCTGTGTGCCGTTGGTGTACGTATCGATAACGGTGTCGTCGTGGCACCGTGGCGAGAAAAAGGGCGTGACGTATGGTACCCCGGGGTCCTGCGACGCGAAAGCGCCTCTCCCCAAACAGCACCACCACCGTCGCTGCTTATATTATTACCGGCATACATATTTATGCGTGGAACACGCAAGACCGTCGTAGTGGAGGTGGAAAGAGGCAGAACGAAGAAGAAGAAGAAGAAGAAAAGGTCCTGAACGAAACAGATGAGGAAACGAAGAAGAAGGGAACAGAGAGAGAGAGAGAGAAAGAGAGAGGAATGCGCGAGAGAGGACGCCTCACGTTGGCTCGGTTGAGTTAGTTATTACTGAATCAATTACCCGTTCGTATTTATAGAGTGTAGCGTGTTTCTTTTTTGTTTCTCTCGGCACTCTCGATCCCTCCTCCTCCTTCTCTTCCTCCTCCTCCTCCTCCTCCTCCTCCTTCTTCTTCTTCTTCTTCTTCTACGCGTCCACTCTGTCTCTTTTCTTCTTCTTTTTTTTCTTCTTATCCTGACGCTGTCTTCCCGCCGCGAGTCTTCGAACGGATCGAGAAGAATCTCTGCTCTCGCGACCACGACGAAGATTGTATCGAGATACGACCGGAAATTCACGGCGCCCCCTGGAAATATACGGCGCCCATCGCTCGTACGAACCGCGCGACTCCATTTTCGTGCATCATCCACTTTGGGCAACCGCCCGTGACTTACGGGATTCGATGATTTTTGGCTTTAGTTTTGTGCTGGTTGCAGAGTTTACGAAGATCCTTTTAGTATCTATATTACTGTATTAAATATTTAATATTGTTCACAATCGTTTGGGCACGCGTTCCTCCATACAACGCTCTAACATGGAATATGAACAGTGACGATCTATGGTTATGCGTCGGGTTCACACACACACACATAAGTATATAAAACAATAGAAGAACGAATATGGCATATGTTACAAATATTAATGGACCGTCCAGATCAGAGATGTCGCAATTAGTAACTTTGCCAAACTTCAAGCAATTTTGATTCTTGAAGAGAATTTTAGATTCTTCTTTGAGAAAACTCTGCTGGATCTTTAGAATTTTCAGTTCCAAGATCGTACGTTCTCAAATTATTATCGTGCATCGTCCACTTTGAGCAACAGTCCGTGACTTTCGCCCGAGACTTGTAGGATTGGAAGATTTTTGCTTCAGTTTTGTAAAAGGATCCTCTCGGATCCTCTCAATCCTCTGAAGAAGACTGTTGGATTTTTAGAATTTTCATTTTCACCGAGAATTCTCAAGTCCAGGCACACCGAATTTCAACACTTCTCATTGATCACATTTTCCAATTAGTATCCGCCACGTAAATCTGATCAGTCGAGGTGTGCGTCTCTGCAACATTCCCGATAATAACTCGAGATAGGCCATTTTTCTCGAACCGTATGTTTCTCTTTCCATTTGCAATAACACTGTACTCGCCAATCGATATTGGAAAGGTCGTAAGGAGGATCACCGTGAAGATTTATCGTGATTGTCGCGAGGTTATTGAATCGTGATCGGCGGAACAAACGAGGAATCCCGGAAGATCTAAGAAGATCCTGCTGACAGAATGGATCGTCCAGTGTGCCTGTGGTTGGAACGATGCGCACGGAGGGTCCCCTGTGACCCTCTGCAATAACAACGGGGCCAACATTGGCAAAACAATTACCACGTTTCTCTCTCTCTCTCTCTCTCTCTCTCTCTCTGTCTCTCGCGCGCGCTTCTCGAGTAAGTAGGTAGCCGGCTATTTACGACTATTGCCTCTTGCCTGGCTCGTTTCATTACCGATGCATTGCCGGATACCAACGGGCACCGGTTCCCAAAGTCACGCGACCATAATGCCACGACTCGTAAATACGGTCAGAGGAAACGAGCCGTACGACGCCATTGTGATCCTTCGTTCGCTCGTGTCCTGGCTGCCAGGAACGCAACTGCCAAGTCGGCTCGACACTTGGTGGCAACGACTAGGGAATTGCCTTTCAAATTGCTTCCCGATCGAAGAAGTTGGTTTCTGCTGTGATTTCCAGGTAGATAATTAATTATCCAGAGGCAGGTCGAAGGGTTTGACTTGGAAATTTTCAAATAGGGCAGCTACCTTAATTTTTCTCTAGTGTATAAATATATTATGTCACGATTATTGTGACAGTAATTGTTCCTTATGTTGTCGTATCTTAAGATTTCTTATCGAAACTTGCTGTGGCTTAGAAATTGTCGGGGTGCAACTTTCAAACAATATGTACACGTATTTATATATCGAGAAAAATTGGGGGTGCAACTTTCAAACAATATATGTACATACTGTAAATACAGTGGATTCTTATTATTATTTTTTTTTATATAAAATAAGAGAATTTTATAGGATTGTTAATGACAAAGTTAAACATTACTAAGCAAATTAACAATATAGGACTGTTGGTAACAATGTTAAACATTACTAAGCAAATATATTTATATATCGAGAAAAATTAGGGGTGCAACTTTCAAACAATACGTACTGTAAATACAATGGATTTTTATTATTTCCATATAAAATAAGAGAATTATATAGAATTGTTGATGACAAGGTTAAACATTACTAAGCAAATAAATTAACAAATATATTTATATGTCGAGAAAAATTGGGGGTGCAACTTTCAAACAATATATGTACATACTGTAAATACAGTGGATTCTTATTATTATTTTTTTTATATAAAATAAGAGAATTATATAGAATTGTTGATGACAAGGTTAAACATTACTAAGCAAATTAACAATATAGGACTGTTAGTAACAATGTTAAACATTACTAAGCAAATATATTTATATATCGAGAAAAATTAGGGGTGCAACTTTCAAACAATACGTACTGTAAATACAGTGGATTTTTATTATTTTTTTTTAATATAAAATAAAAAAATTTTATAGGATTGTTAAACATTACTAAGCAAATAAATTAATAAATATATTTACATGTCGAGAAAAACTGGGGGTGCAACTTTCAAACAATACATACTATAAATAGAGTGGATTTTTATTATTTTTTTTATATAAAATAAGAGAATTGTATAGGATTGTTAATGACAAAGTTAAACATTACTAATCAAATAAATTAACAAATATGTTCATATATCGAGAAAAATTCTAGGTGCTGTGCATCAGTCGCCATTGAAAATTTGATGGCTGACATATCAATGTCCCTTAGCTATCGAATTTAAATATTTGTAGTATCAATCTTCAACTCGCAATCTGAAAAACAACTTCTTCCCAGTCGTTATTTTTTTAATTATCTGCAGGTTAGTTCAATTAAAGAGGCAGCAATGATAAGATAGATTTGTTGGATATCGATGTTAGAATTAAAATGGCCTAACGCAAGAAATAGATGGTTAAAAGTCTCCGAAGTACCTGTATAAATAAGTGCGAGTACTTTCAACAATTTCATTCGAGTTTCAAATATTCCATTCCAAACAATCTAAATCTGTTCCATCCATCGTACATACAATACACTAACGAATTAAATCGATCGAAGATAATGGAGCAGATCGCGCGAAAAAGAAAAAGTATTTGTCCATCTGTCGAATATTCGTCACCTTTGTGACGAATAACGAACAACGTGACGAGACAGAGAATATAGAGTGGGATTAGCATTTTCAATTTAGCTAGGAACTGCCTCCGAGGAAATTGGCTAGCGCATCGTGCCTGGAAATTAAACGCGATGGCGAAGGCTGTAACTTTCTCTGCTTGCTCGTTGACGAATCAGGAACGTTTGCCTGCCATATAAACATGCAATCGCGCGATCCCTCTTTTATGTTCGATTGTTCGATCGTGGAACGCTTGCTAATCGGACTGGACCGATGATTTCACGCGACGATGCCTGCTGGAATTCCATCGTACGTAAAGGAGGCTGTACACTTCTGTTTCACTCGATGGCGATGGATTTCTGTTTTATTTTGATAACTTGTTGCCAAAGTATGGTGTTAATTGCGTCCAATGATATCGTGTTCTACGATTTTGGAGGGTCCACGTTAGGTCACACGAGACAAGAGAGTTGTCCCTATTGGGTTCTATGATTTGGGGGTGGTCTCTTTCGTGTCAGTCGCAAGCAACCGGGCCCCATGAAACGAGAGTCGTTCGTGACCGTGACCGTGTCTTCCATCGTCACGATTTTGCGACTTATTCCACAATCTAGGGTTCTCTTGCCACGGTCCAAAATATTGAGCCTTGACTCGAGCTCTTTCAACAGATCGATCGTCTTTTCAGATGTCAAATTAAAATTCACATATCTTGAACGAGATGCTTGAAATTAACACAGTTTGAACTAGCTGAAATAATTCAAACCTATCATTGTACATAAAGATAGATTTAGACTTGTATTTCGTTTATCTTTTTTTTTTAATTTACCAAATTTTAATTAAAATTGCATTGCGTTGTTAATCAAATCGAAAGCCCCGTACTAAAATTGTGAATTAATATATATATATAATCAGTGGAAATTATTCGAATCGAAAGTATATTAAATCCTTGAATGAAACGTAGATCTTAAACTAAAATTGAGAATTAATATATATATAATCAGTGGAAATTATTCGAATTGAAAGTGTATTAAATCCTTGAATGAAACGTAGATTTACGTTTATATGATGATTATATTATATATATATTAATTCACAATTTTAGTTTAAGATCTATGTTTATATGATGATTATATTATATATATATATTAATTCACAATTTTAGTTTAAGATCTACGTTTCATTTAAGGATTTAATACACTTTTGATTCGAATAATTTCCACTGATTATATATATATATATATATATATATATATATATATATATTAATTTACAATTTTAGTTTAAGATCTACGTTTTACATTCAAGGATTTAATATACTTTCGATTCGAATAATTTCGACTGATTATATTATATATATATTAAACTAAAATTGTGAATTAATATATATATAATCTGTAGAAATTATTCGAATCGAAAGCATATTAAATCTTTGTATGAAACGTAGGTCTTAAACTAAAATTGTGAATTAGTATATATAATGAATTAATAACAAAAATAGTGAATATATATATATATATATATATATATAATTAGTCGAAATTATTCGAATCGAAAGTATATTAAATCCTTGGATGAAACGTAGATTTTCAATTAAAATTATGAATTTATATATATAATCAGTCGAAATTATTCGAATCAAGAGTGTATTAAAACACTTAAATGCTTGGATGAAACACGGATGGAATTGGATGAAAACGTGAGTTAGAAAACCTTAATAGCCGCGGACACGTAGAAATGAAAGAACGAGATGATATTATAATAGGCAATCTACAGTAGACTATGGTTTGCAATTAATTACAATGAACCCGTGACGAACCGGCCTGTCACAATATTCGATTACAACATTTAAAATTATGGAACACGATATCGATAGGCACTATGTACAATTTTGGTAATTGAGGTATGACGCTTGATAATGACAAGGGTTATAGTACTTGCGTGTGCGAGCAAAAATCGTGTCGGGGCACGAGGTGTTTTGGAAAAACGAGAAGAATGGAGCAGCGTCGAGCGCAACGAACAGGAGCATCAATTTGTTTAGACACGATAATGAGGGGATCGTTAAGAAGAATAATGATCCGCGTGTGCCAGCACTCCCTTCCACGTGCTCGTGCCCCATCGTTCGTCGCCCTTTCATCCTTTAATGCGCTACGGAAGGCGCGTCACGGAATTGAGAGCCAAAATCACAGATAATACACACCGAGGCCACGTGCCCTTTAATATCTCTGATAATGTTCACGTGTCTCGCGTGTTCACCGCGTCTCGATGATCCGGTGCATCGTCTTTTTCAGTCGTTTTTCAAATGATATTGTTAGGTTAACACTGAGAATCACCGACGACCAAAGCGTAAAATTTCCATCAGTGACGTTAAAAACAAACGAAACAGAAAATCTTTATAGTACAACAGGGTACACTAGCTTTTATTTATGTGTTTTATGGAGGTTCGT